ACTGTTTGGTCTATCTAAAATACCAGTGTGGCTAATTCTGCTCTATTAGCTTTTCTCAAAGAGTGAATGCTTTAAGAGTACATTTTGATGGAAGCTATTAAGGATGACAAAAATTTCTTTATATGAAAGGAAGTGTAGTGCAATCTAGCTGCAGAGTTCAGAACATTTAGAATTCCATGGTTATTGTAGTATAATACCACAGTCAATTATATYTCTTATTTTACATTTTTCTTTGTCTCTTTCTCACACAAGCCTAGACTATGAATTCATCATGTTAATGAGATGTGTTGTGATGTTCCTGTAAGCTGCTGTGGGAAAATAATTACAACGTGAGGAAGGTCATTCATGACGTGGCCTGTCTCTAAAGCAGGACTGTGTGAGTGCTTAAGATATAAGMAAAATGGACTTTAATACCTTGAAAAAACCTTCAAAACCCCTGACAGATCAACCTACAGTCACTGCAAGAATCAGCTGTCTCAGCCCAACACATGTTTCTGTGAGAAGTTTTAGTGATTTGTACTTGAGGTCTTTAGTGACCCAAAACTTACTTTTTTGTGCTGTTGTTGTTCCTGACAACTTCTTGTCCCTGACAACTTCTCGTCCTCTTCTCCAACCATGGAACTAAAGCCTGAGCCTTCTCATGAGCAAAGGGGATGACTCAGAGCATGCTGTCTTCTCCACATGTGTTCTGCTCAACACTGAGGAACAGGAGTAATGTGATGTAATGACTGGTCTCAAAATCTAACCTTATGGCTGGCAAGTTTGGGGGGCTTATTTTTCCTTCTCATTCAAACCTAAACTAAATGCAGAAACCTTTTTTGCTTCTTCTCTATTGTTATTCACAGTTCTCTTTGTGACTGCTGGAACGTTCTCCACAGTGTCTTAAGTTACTTAAGATGTCCACAGTTACTTAAGAAATAGATGTAGACAGGAAAGTTCTTTAAGAGAGTACAAAATGCAGTACAAGTACGTCTGTCACTTCTTCTATTACATGCTACACTTTAAAAAGGCCAGCACATTTTCTTTCACAAAAAGGCCTTGATGTTTCTGATCATTCAGAAGCCTTAATCAATATAAATAACAGTTTGAGTATAATGACATCATTTTCAGTCCTAGAGTTGTGCATCTCAGCTGCTTAGTTATTTAAATCAGTGGAAATAAGCATAGCAGTTAGAAGTTTCAAAAGGTCAAAGGAGTTACTGTCTTTTCAGCTTTGAATCAGCTGAGAGACTCCAGTTTCTGGGAAACATAATGCCAAGCCTGCATCTCGGCATCTCATTTCCTCCCTCCGCCTCCTTTGAAGCTCTGCTGTAACTGGCTTAAAGGGAAAATCACACCACACTCAGTAGCAGAATCCTTTACAGTGCTAGTTCCTTTCTATTTCCTCTTTTACTTGAAACTAAAGAGGAGTTTTGGCCCACATTGTGTACTGAAATATTTTACTAAACTGCTCTTACCCAAATGCCAAAAAGCTGTTCACAGGTTTTCAGTAAAATTAATACTTTTCAGTACAAATATGACAAGTTCTTTTACCATTTCCTCAGAAGGAAAATAACTGATAAAATGTTCCTCAGAGAGCAATTTGTGAGAAAAAATTAAAATCAAAAGGAAAGTAAAAGGCTTTTAAAAACTTAGTTTAAAATGTGATGTGTTTTCTTTATTAAAGTGGCAGTATGTTTTCTGAGAGGAAGCCACCTCTCACCTAGACTGTCATGGAAAAATAATTTCTTTTTTTTTTTTTTTTTAATGTCAGATACATTGTTTAATCAAAAGTTGTGATCAGAGCTTGTGCTGCATTATGTGTGCATACAGCAGGGCTCTACAATCTTTTAACAACTGCTGTTTCTCACACACTTTTAGGAATGACTCTGTTTTGTTTCCATGTATTTCCAGCTGCCACTCTGCTGCTGAAGTGAAGCTGTCCAGGCAGGYTGTGGAGCGTTTCCATTTCGTGGTGTACACGGCCCTTTCGGAGCTGGGAGCCACACGCTGGCGCTCCAGGGACTTCTGGCTGCTCGCACTGCTGGTAGTTTTGCTTTGGTTCCTGAGACTTTATCTGCATTATTTGAGCCAGTGGCTCTTCCTTCAGACSATCTCAGTTCCTGTTGCAAAGTAAGTCCTGCTGCCCTCTTTTCTCTGTGAGAATATTTCTCCAAATACCTCGATTTGAAGGTCCTTTGCACTATGAATAGAATTGATGACTAAGAGCTCCACATGCAAACTCTGATAGGAGCCCCTGCAGAGACTAAGAGAACAAGGACCACATACAGAGTTCAGATTACCTGACATGCAAATGTGCATATCATGTGAAAGTGTTAGTAATGTAAATTTTAAACCCAGAACATGATGTATTCATTTGTGTAACTTGTGTCATGCCTACCTCTCTCCCATCTGAGGTACCCAGCAGGTTATATATCTTCCAGAAGAATAATTTATCATTTTGGATAAATYATTTCAAAATGCCTAAGGAGTGCACAAAACTGAGGAAGCATTTAAATAATATTTCATGTTACCAAAGTGATCTATGAGTAAAATACTTTTAAGAATTTAACTTTGACATATCAGTTTTACTGTGAGTACTGCAATGAGTTGACATATTTTAACTGTATGATACATTGATTTTGGCTCAGGAATTAGACCTCTCTAGAGAGTTACAGGAAAATCATTGCTTGTTCTTACCTAGCATGAAAAARCCAAAAGATGGAGTGTAAGTCCACTAGGTGATATATACCTGACTCTATGCATGTTGCTGTGTGGCAGAGAAGGATTTTACAGAACAAATAGGTTCAGTCATACTTAAGGAAGGAAATATTTCTCCAATGGAAACATTTTTTTCACTTTAATTCACTTTAAAGCATCACCCAAACCTGAATCAGTCAGTATGAGCCAGTAACATGCAACTCTTTGACCTATGTCTGTTGTGGTAGGGGAATTGATTATTGGCTGAAATTTGAACAGGGTGTTTGAACAGACTCTGTACAGCACTGGGATTTTCTAAGGTGGTCTTCTAGATCTTAATGCAAAGCCAGCCATCTCTCACTTCTGGCCTTGCACAGCCCGTGTCGGCTCAGCCAGCTGGCGCTAAAACTTCTGGGAGGCCAAGCATCTAGAGGCTGCAAAAACAAAGGAAACCCAACAGAAGGAAGCAATGCATGAGAGAGTGGTGGTCATGTTCAAAGCCACTAGTCACAGCTGTCCCAGGCAGTCAGCTAGATAAAGGATAGTGTTCTGAAGCCAAGATGYCCTGGATCAGAATCCCAGTCTGTAGCTGTGTGCCTGAACAATGAGACGGAGCTGAGCACCCTCTAGTCCTAATACTGCAGTAACACTCACAAGTAGGGAACAGAGTAAGAATAAAACCACTTCACTTTTAGTTAGGAGCAGAATTTAAGCTGTTTCAATCGGATTGAAATTTTTGCCTTAAATTTCAGCATCCCAGTGTAGCTCACAATGCCATTCTGTTCCCATCTCTTACAGTGCCAGCAAACTTGCTCATGGTATGAGCTTTGCAAATCCCACCGTCAGATGGTGGCACGAGGGACATTTCCAATCACTTTAGATATTGTAGAAGCTGTATCTTCCATAGTACCTCYTCTGCTTTGTGCAGTGCCCAAAAGTGCTACAGGGCAGAGATGGGTGATCTCCTGGGGCCTTTGGTCGTGTTGATGGATCTGGGAGGTAATCCCTTCTTACAGCCTTTCCTGCACCATCCCTAGAGCCTGGATGTGTACCCATGGAACTGAGGGTCAGAGAGGATCAAGGGATGCAGACACAGGAGGGGAAGGAGGAGGAGAAAGTTATATTTTTTTGATTAGCTTCATACRGTTACTGGTCAGTGTTGTGACCCAGATAGGGATGAAACTTCACAGTGCAACATTCATGATTCCACCTTCTTTGAATGGTTTTTCTCCAGAGCACAAAGAGCACAAAAGCTCTCCTTTTGCTTGTTTGCAGATTCCAGCTCTTCCCTCACACTGTTGATCTGTGCTACCAGAACTCCTTGCTGAACACCAGTGAAGAGCTGGCCATGGTTGTGGTGGGACCCCTAACCTTGAAYGCAGGGCTGCTTCTTATGGTCCTGATCAGATGGGGCTGTCAGCAGCTGTTTGGCTCATTCCCTTCCTTCTTGTCAAAGTTCATCATAGCCATGGGACTATGGACAGTGCTGGACCCCTTGGCAGTGTTTGTAGTGGATTCATTCCTGGGGGTGAGTCACTTAAAATAACTTGGACATGAGAACTTGACGTAGAAGTTTGTTTTATTCAGTGAATCACTGCAAGATATGAAATTCCACCCCTGGCAATGGAACATGAAAGTTAAAAAGAAATTAAATAATAATGTTATACATTACCTTTTTATTAACAAAATTCCCATCTAATGGAGTCACTGTGTTTCTGCATAAAATTAAAAGCACTCTACAAGCCATATATGGAGATAAGAAAGTAAATCCACTGCTGGAGTGATTGCATCTGCTTTGAAAAGAATTACTGCAATTTTGGATGTTAATGGGGATGGGTTAATGAGCAATCCTGATTATTAACGCTTCAGATTTTTCTAAGCATCGAAATAGACAAAATGAAAAGAAGAGAGGTTATCATGCACTTCTCTGATGGCAAGACAGTTAATAAAATTTACTGGCACTCCTAAAAAAGACTGGTGAGATCGAAAGACAGGCATCTTTCAGGAGAGAGTTTCATCTTACATAAAATCAGGAGAGCAAAGTTCCAGCTCTGTCTGCGCCCTTGTATGGGCTGTGTAGCCCAAATGTACTTGGGTGGCTGCCGACTTTTGTCACATCCAAGATAATGCTCAGTCTCCCAGAGAACACATTTCAAATTTGGGTCTCACTTTGTGTATGACTCCTTTCAATGGTTGCAGGATGCTGAGAGCTTTCCTGGGATGGTGCTATTGCTCTTCTTCTGCCCTTGCTGGCCTTTCAAAGTCATCCATGCTTCTGTTGCTCACTCCAAAACRAGCATTAATCCACAAGTCTTGTCTTGGATCAGGTTTCCTCAGGCCTCTTGGTTCCTCATTGGCTCACCTGTGCTGTGCAGGTGATTTTTCATTCTTTACACTGCTTTCCATTGCAGTAGTTTTGAATGTTAAAATTCAGCTCTTCAAGAAGTTGAGTTGGAGCTCACTTGAGAGGTAATTGCAATAGTTTAAGAATGTGGCAACACACTTTAGTTTTCAGTTGGACAGCCAACATTTATTTATTTATTTTTAAATTTCATGACATAAAACATGCACAGAATTGAATTTTAATTGTAATCATTCTAATCTGTATTTTTCTTCCTAAGAGAAAAATATGTATTTCCTCCATAAGCAGGGTAGGAATATTAATGTTTAAATGAATTTTTTCTCCCCTCTAATACTGGTGTGTTCACAAMACTGGAAGACAGGATGAGGTCTGCSTTATCTTTCCCACGCTTGCATTGAGAAAATCATTGCCATTGACTTCAGTGGAATTGTACTCAGTTCTACACAGACTGGGTTAATTGTCAATTTCAAATTCAAGCACTTGGTCAGGGGGAAACGTGAGATATAAATTAAGTAACTTAGTTTTTCATTAAAGTGTTAAAAAGTACACACCTCTCTGTACTTCATACTAAAAATTTGGCAGTCTTACCCACCAAGATTATCTTTGGTAGAAACTCATTTGTTCAAATATTACACAATATACTGTGTGTATCCTTTCCAAAATGAAACTATATCTCTTACATGTGTTTCCATTATTGCATTTGTAATTTTTTTTTTTCTCTTGGCGTTCTTTCAGCAGCTATTTCAGATTTGCTTGCCAATCTATTTTAGATCAAACCTTCTTAAAATATTGTGTTGTGGTAATATGAGTTATTTTAGTGCTAGAATGCATTTTAGTATTTTAAATGGCCTTAATACTTATGAAACATGACAGATAGCCCTGGAGACAAAGATTTCTGTGTTTACTAACTAATGTTTTTTTATTGTTAAGGAAAGRCTAGAGAGCAGGCCTTTCCTTTCCTTGCATATTTGAGGGGTATTCAAGTCATAGTCCAAAATGCTGCATCAAATGTGTTATTTCAGATTTGATTTACTGTCAGCTTGTAGAAGGATGGTCCAGGGATAAGAAAACATTCCTATGCAGTTCAAGTTCCTGTTCTGTCAGAGCTTTCCTGGGAACCCCCTCACTTTATCTGTAGTTTCCCAAGTGCAGACAAAAGTAAAGCTTCCTTGGCCACGTGGATGTATGTCATCACAAAAACCAGCGGGCACTGCAAAAGACGTAGACAAGTGTAATTTAAGCTATTTAAAATGAAGACACCTTTTTTGGATCGTGTTTGTGAGGACCACAGAGGCATACAGGATGACAGAGTATCTCTGTTAGGAAAAAGGGGTAGAAAAGTTCAGTTCTCACACACATTTTTGCTTTGCCAGAAAGAGCTGCTTGGATAAGAGAGAAATTTATTCTTATTCGCCATTCGGACTTTTGCCTCTCTGGAGGAATGTCAGGACATGACTCCTGTGCTGAGGATTTTCTTTGGTAGATATTTACTTTGGTAGATATTTTCTTCAGTAAAAAAGCAGTGGTAGCGCCATTTTTGTTTTCTTGGTTTTTTTGGGTTTTTTTTTTTTTTTTTTTTTTTCCCAAGAAGAGAAGATATAACAGGGCGATAGAACAGAACCAGAGTATTTCAACGTTATTGTAAAAAATATGGACAGATTTGAATTTTTGACTTATCTTTGAAGGTCCCACGAGATGGGTAATGGCATATAATTTCAATGATAGAAACTTAGCAGCATTCCAAATGGTGGAGAGAGAGCAGAAACACGCTCACGAACCCCAGTCCTTCTGCAGCTCATCATTGGACTTCTTGTTCCTTTACTATGCATGTTGCTGCAAAGGTAGCCAGAAATGGGCAGAAAGTTTTGACCAGTCCTAAGAGTTAATCTGGGCAAGTTACTCAGAGAGGTGAAGGTTTCTTGAAGTCTAAAGGTCACAGGTTTTCTCTCTGCATGACAGACACTGGATGCTTTGGTGCTGCAGTTTCACATCCTGGCAAAGTGTATCTCTGAAATATGATTTAATATGGATATGACTGTCACTGTGTGACTTTAAAAAGGAAAAAAAATGGCGAGAGGAACTTATTTTAGTTCTGTGCAGTAGAAAGCCCATGATATATAGTTGAATTCTTCTAAATTGATCCAGCAGAGGGCAATAATATGTCAATACAGTAGCTAGTTCTTAAGAACCAGAGATGAGGAAAAAAGAGAAAAAAAGGAAAATAATTTACTTTTGGGAAAGAAAAGAAATAATTCAATATTACTCCTCCTTTGTCATTGCAATAAGGAAAATTTTCAGCCTTATTCTCCTTCCACTTGTCCTGAAATATACACTAACAGAATTCACTTTGAGTATTTTCACTGTGACATGGGTTTTGTTCAATAAGCCACCTCTACAGGGTAGGTTTTAATTGCRCTAAAATAAGGCAGAAAAGAGTTTATTTCACATCTTATGGTTAATTTAAAATTGTATCTAGCACACTCCTAAGTTTCAGATTGTGTGCCCCACAAATCACATTTAAATCCTTCTTATMCAGAGATTCATTGTCTTTTGTCTCTGTAGCCTAATCAGGTGTGRCATTTTCTTATGTTGATTTTTTCCTCCGTGACAGCGATTTGGGAACAGCGTAGAGAAACCCATTGCTGATGCTGCAAAACTCTCCTGGGTGTTTCTAAGAGCAGGGGAGTCAGGAGTTCCTGGTGCCCTAATCACAGTGATGCTTTATACCATCCTCTTCATKATATCATCAACAGTGTTGTACCTGTATTTTTTAAGGTATGTCTCTTTATCTTATTCTTCCCTTAGTTGMTTAGGTTCGTGCCTCTTCTGTTAGATAACATAAGGTGACATCAGAAAAAATATATCAGTGTCACACACCCAGAGCCCAGACCTGCAGATAATCAAGGAGGGGTTTGCTCCTGCTTAACTTTTAATGCACTGGGATTGCTGGGCACAGCAAGTCAGAGACGGAGGCACTTATTTCCTCAACAGGAGCACAACTAATGTCATGATTTTTCATAGACTCTAGAAGCCTCTGCTTCTGTGGCTTCAGGCAACGGTGTCTGTGTAAGGGCTTAAGCTGTAAAATGTGTGTACCTTTCATTTAGGTACTTTGGAAGATGTTGTCTTTAGCCTTTCAAGAAGGGGCTTTGTGAGAAGTAAGAACATTTTCAGAAAGGTGCATATGATATGAAGTGCAAAATCTCTGAGTCTGCAGTGGCTCCCAGAGCTTTTTGATGATACAGGATTTTTGACTTGTTGTGTCTGAGTCATCATGACATGATTTRATCCAAATATTTTTTCCATGACATTAATGCATTTTCTAAACTAGTTTCCTCATGAATTCTGACCAACTACCTTTCYTGCCAATTTTCTATTGTACACCATTAGCTGTGCAGTCAGTAGGGACAGGTGKGGGACACTGAAAATTAATTAGATAGACTGTCTAATACATTGAATGAAAAGATGTATTTTTTTTCTAAGTGAGTAATTTATAATGCAGCAGGAATTTTGTGCTGGGCGCTGATTCACCCAGTGATGAGTATTGGCAAGCACCAATAAAAAGCCACAGGCAAAGGCAAGATGCAGGCAGGTGTAAGAGCAGGAAAGCTCAGCACAAGCYCTGCATATGACTGCATCATCTCTCTGTCCCCCTTCTGCAAACTCTGTTGCAGCAGGCAGAAAAAGATAAATGGCAATCTAAATTTCTGCAAAGTATTTCAGAGCTCCTGCATTCCTGGGAGCTGTACACAACTCCAATGTACTGGTAGACTAGTTAATTAGTTTTTGAGATGTTAATGCCTTCTTAATCATTGACTTAATAGTTTTGAATAGCTTCATAAGTTTTAGCTGCTGTCGTTTATTACTCAGGAAAATTAATTTAAATTAAAACATTTGTAAGGCAGGCTTTTATGAGAATATTACCAACATCTTCATTGTCTGGGGAACAGGTGCAAGATCATCAAAGGTACCTTTCCTTCTGGATCAATTTTCCCATAATGTTTTCCAATAAAGAGGTGGGGGAATAATGTTACTAGGGGAAGAAAAGTTGTCTTAGCACAACACATTTTAAAAATGATTCATTGGAAAATACAAAGCAAAGGGAAGATAACAAAATCTGTTACAGTGCACAAGATCTTTGAAGTTYTTTTCTTGATAACAAAAGGACACATTTTGGATATGGGAGTCTGTGCAGGGTAAAGTTATGTGATGAGCTTCTGCTATGATATCAACTTTCTCTTTCTTGAACAACTACAGCCCAGCACTGTGGGGACATRGGACTCAGCTAGGACTCTTGAGCAGCACACTATCAGCCCAATAATGATAGAATTAAAACCTTTTAAAATGTTTTTAAATCAAACATTTCTGCATTGCATTACCCTGTTTCCTGAATATTGATGTAAGAGTCTTCATTTTCAAGAGAAAATATTATTACCACCAAGGCAGTAGCATCCCTTTGTATGAATATTTCTCAGACACAATATCTCAGGTGTATATATACAAATATATTCAAGTGTAACATTGCTCAGCACAGAAAACATATATTTTTAAATAAGCATCCGCCACATTTTTCTCTTGTAAGGCAAACCAATTTAAGTATTGAGGGGTACCTTCTTAAGGCCCCAATCCACAGAGAATACTTTGGCTGTTGAATGGGGGAATTGGTGCTTTTGGTTGGAATTACTCATCGGTTTGCCATTAAACTGAAGTGTCTGACAGTRTGTAGAAGAAGGGATAAGAACACTGAACCCTCAAGACCACCAAAACAAAAAGGGGAAGTGTTTGTTTCTTCCCCAGCTAGAAAACTTAATGGCAGCACTGACGAACAGCCAGGAAATGAATTAAATAATGGGAAGGGGATAAGCAGCGGTAGGTATCTATTTGTGTCTTTATAAACMAAAATACCTCAATAAATCTTGTTTCCCTTGGGTGTCTTGGGAGTCTGTAGTGCAACTAGCATGGAGAGGTATTCTAATTACTTTTTGGAACAGTGAAGCRGCACTGGTTGCAATTCCTTCATTTTAATTCTACTAGACATTAGAAACAGAAGGAAGTTTGTTGGTGAAATGTTTTCYGCACTGTGAGAAAATGAAGACCCGTGTGAACAAGAAGTGTCTGCTGGAAAGCATCTGAATTTCCTGGTATTGAAACATTTTTCAGGGAAAAGCCTTAAAAATCTACATTTTTCAGTGTTAACAGCAAAACTGGTTTTGTATTTTTAACAGTGGTTTTCCAAAAAAGGATGAGAAAGGCTCAAGCTAAGACGTAATAAATTGTTTTAAACCACTAAAACTACCCTTTAATTTTTGGTTTGTGTAATTCCTTGAAAAGCCCATTTTTAAATCATACTCTGAGTAGGAAATAATTGCCGTGTTTTCTGTTCTTTCTCATAGGTAAATAAATGAACTTGTAGAGTATTATACTGGTTCTCATATCTAGAAAACGTAATCTGTGTTTTGTTTTCTTAATTGTATTAGCAATAAAAAAACCTACTCTCATGCTTGCAACAAGGTATGTTAAGGTATAAGAGGRGTTTTATTAGTTTTCATGACAAAGAAAAGAAATTAAAGCGGGTAACAGGAGCAGGCTGACTACTTTTGGACAAAAAGAACAAAGCCAAAAGACAGGCTTCATGATTCTTAATTAATTCAAAGTTAATTATATTGTTTATAACCATGTGCTTAAAATCTTCATATAGAAAATGTTTATGGCAGCAAATAGACAGTAATTTAACTGCATTAAATTTTACTTAATTTGAAATAAGAATGTTGCATTAAGTGAGCTTAAATAAATGGCAAGGTCTTTCTCTTGTTTAGCAAGACAAGTGGCAAGCCATTTAAATTGCCGACCTGGAATTTCAAACACAAACACCATGGAATAATATTGCTTCRACATGAATAGAAGGTCAGGAAGTCCACCAGTTTGATTGCTAGTTTTTCAACCCAGCGCAAGATAATTCTGAGTCAATTCTTGCAAAAATGTATCTGTTTTCTCAAAAGAGCATCTGATGTAGGTGCAGACATTAGGAGAATAACTTCTTCTTTGAAAACAGTGTGGAATTTGGTAAATTACTATGTAAAGGGAACTAGTTATTTATTAAAAATTATCACTTCTGTAGTGTGTTTTAAGCTGCTTTAGCATCCTGCTCTGCCTTAGCACTGATTTGCATTTCACACTTTAGGATATTTTCTATTATTTCTGRATAGCAAGTTTGTTTCATATTCCCAGATTACCTACATTTTGATTAGATTATCTTCCACCTGCTCTCCCCTTTTGATAAGAGAATCCCAAAATTACATCTTGGAAGCTGCAGCTGCAGCTTCAAAAAAGAATGTTTCAAAAAAGAAGGGTGGGGGAAAAAGTACAGAGACAACCTTTGCAGCAAAGCCTGAGATAAAAATTCCTAATCTGATGTTGAGTCAGGTTGCCAGATTTTGKAATTAGAATAGCTGCACCATCACGGAAACTCTTGGATATGGTGCTTGACCCTAAGGTACATATTCCCCTTTGAAGAGAGAGCTAAAATTCCTCCTGAGATCAACCTGAAAAATTGTCTGTTGGTGCATCTTCTCATTTCTGTTCCACAATAAATCCCAGTTGGGGGCAAAATGGTGCCAAGCAGCTTGTTGAGCGTGCTCCTGTGCACTTCGTGTGAGCACTGTAAGGTGTGATGTAGATGTGTAAGTGTGTGAATGGGAACCTCATTGCAGTTCAGCTGAACAGCYCTCTGCCTCACACACGCGTTCTTCAGCACACACAGGCCAGTGCAAGACCCAAGGACCCGTCACAAGAACTGTCACTGGGGCTGCTGTATGTGACAAGGGTGAGGGTTCACAGGGTCTAACGACTTATGACTTGGCTTTGTCTCCCACTTGCCAAGAAATGAAGGACCCGAACAGCCCCACAGAAATCCATGCACTTCACGTGATTACCCAGCCAGTCTCTGGAAAGGATAAAAATGCTGAAATCGGCACCAAGAAATGTCTRGATTGAAGTCTTATCTTGAAAAAGGGTACAAAAGGAAAGACCTCAGCTCAATATGCAAAACTGAGATTCCAGATTTTCTGATCTCTATTTTCAGAACCTCTGGAATTTTTGGAATAAAAGTGGAATGAGGAAGAGGTGAATTGAAGAGGATCCATTGAATCAATCAGCAATGTTTTGAAGTTTTAAAGTTCATCTTAGGCTAAAAATGTGACACCAGACTTTTGAAAAAGCCCAACAATATTTCTTGGTTTCACCTACATGAAGAAACACAACACAGCAAGCCTTTCTTGTGGTAGAAAACCTTACTGTGTAGTGTGCAGCCAATTCCTTACCACAGAACAGAAATGTGGTAGAAAAAAGCCAACAAATGGAATTAACTTTTCTAACATCAAGAGAAGTTTAGATTGTATAGGCTTCAGGCTTAGGTTTGAAAAAAAAATGGCRAGTAGTTTTTTTCCTATATGATGTGGTTTGCCCATTATTGAACCCTGGCACAGCTGGACTTCCATTCATGTGTAAGTGTGGTATTGGAACTAGTTACCCAGCCTTAAGGACAGGCAGTAGAAATTTCTGAAGTGAAGAAAAATCAAGGTCTTTTTGGGAAGTCAATATTTTTTAAATAATTAAAGTTGCTGCTGCTTATATTTATGTGATTTGATCAGTTACTGAAAATTCTCCAGAGGACTGTGGAGAGTTGTCTGTTGGAGAACTTGTGGGAAAGAAGCTTCTTACTCATGGGCAGAGAGCACAGACATGAGGGGGAATCCAAGGCTTAGAAGTCTACAATGAATGACAACTTCCACCCCCCCTCCCCCCCACACTTTTTTTTTCCCCTGTTTTTGCATGGAGAGTCCTTTCAAAGATGAACCTGATATGTCGTTTCTACCCTTAGGCTACATAGTGAAGGTTGGCTGTTGGATGTGTTTCGACGTATTCATGGTGAGGAAGGCGCATTCTTTGTTCCACTGGACTTGGAGATTTCCAGTCAAGAGCTGAGCTACATTATGAAGAGAGCTGAGCAGTGGAGGGGAATCAACGGTGAAAGACRGATGGTGAGTGGTGAACAGAGTCTCCAAAAAGAGTCTGTGGCCCAAATTAATACTTTCTATTTCTGGGTGTAATTTAAAAGAGCCTAGATATTAGGATATTATTCTTCACTGAATGGAGAAGCTAAGAAGCATGTTCAAGAGAATTTTGTGATGTTGCATGTGCACGGCCTGAACATCCTGAGGGGTTACAATCTGCTTAGTAACCAAAGGCTTAGAGGCATCACTGATGTCAAAAATTATCTCTGCCATCTGGTGGTTCTTGACTTGGTTATAGAGATTTTCTGCTGGTTTAAATGTCAGTATCATCCCAGATAATTTCTCAGCCAGCTCAGCAAACTGAGGATTTCCTTGGACAAGTTAGAATTCATTCCTTACGAGGCCATAGGTGAGGCTGTCCTGAGAAGGGGGTGTGAGTTTGGTCAGTCAGATATGAAAGCCTTACTSTCACTGGCCCTTTCCCTCCAGGTTTGCCCAGGAGAGTAGGCTAAGTTGGAAATCTGCAGAGGAAGGTACTCTGCTCTGGTTATCAGAATAATTCCTCTTTCTTTTTCCCATTTAGTCATTGGCCTCTAGTCCCATCTATAGATGGTAATATGCGATGTATAGGAGATACATTCTATATTTGCAAAGGGTCCAGTGGTGGAGATGCCATTCACAGATGAGGCTTCTGGTCATAATTGCTGTCAGAGAGTTGAAAATAGGAGAAGTAATGTGGTCAGTAATTTCTGAGGGACATTGTCTTCCTTGTRTGAGGGACTTATCCTTCCTTGCTTTCTTGCTTTGCATCAGTCTTACTGATTCCCATAGGACAATTTTCAAACCAGCTCTTGGACAATCGGTAGAGTGCTCATCAATTTGATTTCTACATCTGTGAATTCCTCTCTGTACAATGCTTTGTTTGGTAACTCTCCTGCTTCAATGTAAAAAAGAACAGATTCCAGATAGGAAGGAAATTAGTCCTCYTAAGCTTGTATAAGTTGTTTCGTTTATCTTTTCTAACCCTCTGGAGCAAGGGACTTAAGATTAGGGTTTGCAGGTTTTTCAAATCTCTGTAACTACCTCTGAAAGATCAGCAGTTTGTATAAATATATAGCCTCAGTTGTCACTGTTATAAACATCTGCCACAGCTGTAATTATTTTCCACTTTATTTTTTTTCCCCCCATGATGACAATTTGGACCCTGAAAAGAAAAATTGAATGAAAAAGCAGATATTCAACAAGCTTAATTTTTGTGGGAAAGTGCAGAGTACCACATGGCATTCCAGCAGAGGGGAGGGAAARGGYTTGAAAGAGTGAATGTGCTTCCACACCACCTGCCTCAGACATTCCCACTTTTTATACATATAAAACTTATTTTATTTTTCCCACTAAGTAAAATAACACTTTTTTTTTTCCTCTAGTAAGTCAAGCATAACCCCTGACAGTTGGTTTCTATTACCTTTGTTACAAGTCAAGTAAGGTCAAACAAAGAATACATCTACTGGACCTCATTTACATGCCAGGACCACCAATGCCATATGGAAAAAGTGGCAGATGAGGAAACTGCAAACAACTGCATTTCTGTTTCAAGTACCGAATAAATTTCTAATTGTATTACCAGCATATCATTTCTTGCAGCAGTACAGAAAGGGCTGAATAAGGAGCAAAAAAAAAAAAAAAAAAAAAAGAAAAAAAATGAAAGCAAAAACAACTGAAGCAGCTTTGAAAGCTGCCCCGTAGCCAAAACATCCATCTGAGCTGAGAGGCTGAAGGGTTGATTTTATTTGTACGTTTGTTTGTTTGTTCTTCTGCTGGAGTGCATCACCAATAATTAACAAAACAAAACAAAACAAAAAAAAACCAACAAAAAAAAGGGAGATGAGTGAGTTCAACCCTTGAAATAAATTGGAGACGTCTCTGTGGGAGCT